ACTTGCAACAGATAAAATTATTGCTGATCTGAACAGTACTTTTTTTCACTTCTTAAAGTAAGGAAGTAAGGCTTAGCCAAGCATGGCATACACACAGCTGTGTTTATTCACAACTCTTCTTGCGTAGTCTGTCTCTCATTTTGCCATGCCACAACATCCCTTTCTTGCTTCCCTTATTGATGGGTGTACACTTCTTGAACATTTGGAGCTGCTTCATTTTAAGTATTTGTTATTACTTATTGCTTATAAATTATCCCAAAGAATAAAAATATTGAAAGGCAAGAGATGAATTGAAAACAAAGAGACAAGCAAATGTGGGATAAGACAATCATCCCTTTGATATAATAGTGCAAATTATGAAAAGAGTTGGGTCTACTTTTTTGGACCACAGTTCCCAAAATATTCTAGGTCAGCATGGCCACTGACCATGGTGGCTGGAAGTGGGTGGGTGCCAGAAGCGGTTCAAAAGGCAATGTTTCCAATTCATATGGAGCAGCTACTCTGCAAAGTTTCAGGCAGGTCCTTCCAAGATTTGACACCTCAGGGCATCTCAGCTAGTGATGTCAGAGATAAGATTTGAATCGAGAAGTTAGATTTTTTAAAACTGATCAGATAGAATTGGAGCTGAGGAGAAGGTTGGGCTAAGGCTGCAAAGAGCCACGATAAAATGGTAAGAAATCAAGGCTGGCCTGGGATGCTGTGTCATCTCCAAGCAGTTGTCACATCACCAGATCTGCAGCCCCAATGTCCTCACTGATATTTGGTTGCAAGGGTTCCTGGACAGGGAAGCATCCCTCAGGTCAAATCCTGCTTCACTGCCAGCCTACAACAACTGCCAATCAAGTAGTCACTTGTGCAGTCAGACCAGCTTCTAGGTAAGCCTCTTTATAGGATGCCAGGAACGATTACGACTAACCAACGGGTGGCTTTGCGAAGACGCTTAATATGGTCATGGCTCTGCTGGAAAGGTAAATAACAAAGGGGTGATTCACACAAAAGTTCTTAATGTGGTGAAGTCGTCCCATTAATTTACTTTTTGGCATGAAGTGAAGACTTGGTCTGGTATTAAGGGACATTCAGGAGAAGCCATTGTTTTATTTGCTTTATTCCAAACATAGAAGCTCATGTTTATATGAAAACAACATGCTTTGTAAGGTTCCAAAAATAGTCTTTGCTTTCAGCTGAAGAGAATGTATCAAAACTATTCCCTAGAAAGGGGGTGTGATCAGTGTTGTTTTTCTAATGATTCTTGGTGTGGCTGAGAAACTGGAACAGAGTTGTGGCTAGGCAGCGACGTGTTTTGCCTATCTCTTCACAAACTGTATTCATTTCATACCAATGTTATCCTAGATAAGGATATTTTGTTAAAAATATATATATGCCACACTGAAGTCTGCACTTAACCCATCACTACATCCATTATGGTGCTTTCCTGTCATCACCCCTTCCCTTCATAAAGAATTGCAGTTCTTTTGTGGAGAAGATTTGCAAAGAAGATGCCACCTGGGCTTCAGGGGGAAAAACAGCAACCAAGCTATTTGGTACTGCAGGCCAAATCAGCAGGAATGCAATTGTTTAGTGACAAAGCTCCTGCCTTCCATGCAGAAGGTTTAATTCCTGGCATCTCCAGGAAGGGCTGGGACGAAATCCTCCCTGAAACCAAGGGAGCTGCTGATGCTAACGAGAGTTTATAATATGGAGTTGCATGGAGCCAATGGACTGACTCCTTATAAGGTAGCTTCCTAAGATTAAAAAAAAAAAACATAAAAACAGGATGACCAATTTTATATCAGCCTTTGGTTCCCCCAGTTTGTATTTTACCCTTAGCAACACTTTCCTGGTCATTTCCCCTGTGATACAATAGAAAGGAGCACCCCCATATGCTCTGTTGCTTTTAAATGTGTTTTTAGTATTGATTTTAATTACTGCTTTTAATATGATACTTGTCTAATTATTTGTTAATATTTATATTCTTATTGCTTTTAAATATTGTCCTTTTAATGATATAAGCCGCCTTGGATTCTTTAAGGAGAAAGCTGAGGTAAAATGTTTTAAATAAATAGGTAGGAAGACAGGCAAGCATAAAGAGAGCTAAAATAGTACTCTTAGAAGGTGCATCAGTTTCTCCAAGACAACAGTGTGCCTTCAGAGATCCCCAAATGTCTATTCTTAGCAGGAGTAAAACAGTCTCTTTTTCTTCTTTACTTATGCAGGGGATGGATAAAGTGGACAAAGGGAAGCTGTTTTCCCTCTCACGCAATACCAGAACCAGGGGACATCCACTCGAAATGAGTGTTGGGAGAGGGAGAACAGATAAAAAAAAATATTTCTTCAACCAGCGTATTGTTAGTCTGCGGAACTCCTTGCCACAGGATGTGGCGATGGCATCTGGCCTAGATGCCTTTAAAAGGGAATTGGACAGATTTCTGGAGGAAAAGTCCATCACAAGTTACAACTCATGGTGGGGATGTGTAATTTCCAGGCTTAAAAGGAAGGTACCTCAAAATGCCAGATGGAGGGGAGGGATATCAGGAGACAGGAATCTAGTTGTCTCATGTGCTCCCAGAGGCATCTGGTGGGGCCACTGTGAGATACAGGAAGCTGGACTAGATGGGGCCTTGGCCTGATCCAGCAGGGCTTTTCTTATGTTCTTATGAAGTACTACTGGTATCATCTGCCAATTACCATAAGCCTCTCTACTAAGTTTCAGATTGTAAATGAAACAAAAGATTACAGCCATTTCATCTACAAAAATATTACTGACACAGTAAAATTGCACAACAAGAACAAAAAAAATAGAAGAGTTTGCATTGCAAGGACATGTACTCAGAACCAGTCAAGAATAGGCCTCTTTGTTCCTGAAGATGTTCTAGGAAAATGTGATTTATGGTCTCCTCCATGACCCCAACAGCTGATGAATCATGCCTCAATTGTATGAGCTGCAATGTCAGCTGAAATGTACTTCCTCTTTATTAAGGATGGGGATGACTAACACTTTAACAACTCAGTGGACCTCATAAACAGAACTTACAAGCATTATGATTGGTTGCATTTTACCCCAATTATTAAGCCTTGCTGCTGACAAAATCTACCATATGCAAGAAGAGGATGGTTGATTTTGTTCCTTTTCACTACATAACACTAATTGCTCCTGTAAAATAGCTGGTATCTTTGAGGAAGGGGCCATAACTCAATGGTAGGGCATATGTTTTGCTTATAGAAGATGCCAGGTTGAGCATCCAGGGCAGGAAAATATCTTTCTCTATCTGGGGCCTATGGGGAGCTGTTGCCAATCAGAATAAGCAACCATGGCCATAGCTTTAGGCTGGCATTTTCACCGTCCAGAAATTATTTCTCCCCCTCCCCACCTAAGGTCTGATAGATGGACATGGTGTAAGACAACTTCTGATACACCCAGGTCCTACCACATGTTTTTGTTATCAGTGTCTATATATGGAAAATGGCCAGGTTCCACAAAGCTACTATATACAGGGCTAAATTATTTTGACTTCAGCCTTGCCATGCTCCATCATAAAGTGCATTTTGGAAGTTTCCTCAATTTCAAAACAAGCTTGGCTACTGTTTGAAAAAAGACCAGTTCAAAGCACTGGTGAGCAGGCAGAACTAGTTGTGTAGTTCTTTGGATCCAGGCCAGTAATAATAGTAACCCAGGCCTGAAGACCTTGGAATTATTACTGAATGAGCATGAGTTTAAAAATAACCACCTTGTTCATGTTCAGTAAATGTCATAAAGAGTTGAAGCAGAACTTCTCAAATAAGTTGAGCCTGTGGATTTGCCTTAGCACCTCACTGGTTCTTTTTAAACCCAGAGGAGCCAAAAACAACAACAGCAAAGACCACCCAGAGAACACAAACCAAACCAAACCATGAGCCTTAATCAGGCGTTATTATCAGTGCAGAAAGATTGTGTGAAGAGGGAAGAACTCTAATCCTGCCTTCTCTGTGACACTTCCATCAACCATCTAACTCAGGGGGTAAGTCTACAGTGGTACAGTTACTTGCACCTATGCGGGCTCTCCCCAAGAACTTGAACCCTAAAAGATCAGGGCTCCAGCTTACAAACGGTGCATGCACAGAAGGTAGAAGATCTCTGTTTTCAAGTTGTCATGCACACGTTGTATAAGCTTTCTACAAAGTAAAAGTAAAAAAAAAGAGAAAAAAGCTTGGAGAGGAAATCTCTCTGAAACTGGTTGTTTCAAAGAAGACTCTTCTGAAATCTATTGTATACAAATTAGTGATGGCATCAGGTCAACAGGCCTACTGAATTTTTATAGACCACCATATTCTGTCATTCTTAGTTGCATCCAGTGTGCAAATCAGATGTGAGCTCACATTAGCCTTTTCCTCCCATTTGTTTCAATGTCAGCTCCTCGAAATACAAATTGCATTATTTGGGAATAATGTCAGAATCACTGAGAGGTAAAAAGGTTGAAGCTGCTCCTGTCTCTCATGCAAGGGATTGTGTTCCCATTCTGCAATTAGCCCTCCTGCCTGCAATTAGCTTTGTATTCCTGTTAGGGTTAAAATGCGACCCTTTGTTTGCAGCCATTGTAGGTCCAAGAAAGAGAGGCTGTGGGACAGATGAGAATCTGACAAAGACTACTCATCTGACCAAAGCAACTTGACTATTTCCTCAGATGTTGTAGCATTTGGGCAATGACCAACATCACCCTGTGGCTTGTCCTCACAGCACCTCTGAGAACCATCTATGCCACGTGTTTTATGAGATTTTCTTGCCAATGAGGAAAGAATAGATGAGATGAAAGAAGACAATGAGAAATATGGTATGCATGTTATGCTTCAGTTTGTTGGTCTTGAACTCATACAATTCTCTATTCAAGCACCGGTTGAAACATTGACATCTCAGCTGGGTTAGATGAAAAGGAGAGGGAAAAACTGGGCATAATTCATTGATGAAACATCAGTCAACATCCCCAGATAACTTTGGTTTAACCATTGGTCTCTTTAGATTTCTAGTTTTTACAAGTTCCTGAGCTGTTTGCGTCAATAAGTATCTGGGACACTGAGATAAATAACAAGATTTGATTAGACACCTTCAGAAGATGGTTCTGGAGAACAAAATCACATGTGAGTTAATTTCTTTCTTGATGTTCCTGAGCTTCCTAACAGAATCTCCTTCCTTCCTTCCTTCCTTCCTTCCTTCCTTCCTTCCTTCCTTCCTTCCTTCCTTCTCTTTTTCTTTCTTTTTTCTCTTATTGACAAAGACAAGACTGAAACTAGAATTCCATTCAGCCAACAATACCAAGTATTGCAAGACCCTTTTCCAGCAATTCAGCCTTATTCCTTTGCACCAGCAGAAGCTGCTTTTAGGAAGGCAGTGGACAATGGGTGACGGATACCAAAGGGGAAATGAAGGTCAAGGATATTCCCCATGTGACCTTCTAGAACCATGTGTAAATTCTAATGTTTCAGCACTGTACTGGAATTGGCTAATCAAAGCAGCCAGGCCAAAAACAACAGAATGGGCCACAGCAATAATAAATGGGTCTTTCCTTGAGGGCAGGTTTCCCTCTGCCCTCAAGGAGACACTCATTAGGCCCATAAGGAAGAAACCTAGTTTGGCGGTGGACAAAACTGGCAATTATAGGCCCATCGCCAATATTTCTTCCATGAGCAAAGTGGCTGAGAGGGTGGTCGCTGACCAGCTTCAGCCAATGTTTCTTCCATGAGCAAAGTGGTCAAGAGAGTGGTCGCTGACCAGCTTCAGGCCCACTTGGAGGAAACAGATGCCCTGGACCCATTTCAGTCAGGCTTCAGGCCGCGCCACGGTACAGAGACGGCATTGGTTGCCCTGTATGATAACCTGTTGAGGGAGGCCGACAGGAGTAAAACATCTCTATTGGTCCTCCTCGACATCTCGGCGGCCTTTGATACCGTCGACCACGGTATCCTCCTGGGGACGCTCTCTGAGTTGGGTCTCGGTGGCTTGGCTCTGGCCTGGTTCCGTTCCTTCTTGGAGGACCGCCCCCAGAGAGTGCAGCTTGGGGAGAGTATTTCGGTCCCGTGGAGTCTCAAATGTGGGGTTCCACAGGGGTCGATTATCTCCCCAATGCTGTTTAACATCTATATGAGGCCACTGGGTGGGGGCATCAGGGGGTGTGGAGCATTTTGTCATCAGTATGCTGATGACACTCAGCTTTACATCTCCTTTTCACCAGCTGCAGGTGATGCCATCCTGTACCTCGAGTGCTGCCTGGGGGCTGTACTGCAATGGATGCAGGAAAATGGGCTGAGGCTGAATCCGGACAAGACGGAAGTTCTGAGGGTGGGTGGCCCTGTGGATGGCGGCTTGGGTGACTCTCTCATGTTTGGGGGGGGTGACCCTGGCCGCAAAGTACACCTGGACCTGATGCTCACCATGGGAAACGCAGGTGGCGTCGGTAGTCCGCACCACCTTCATCCATCTTTGGCAGATTGCCTGGCTGCGACCCTACCTTGACACTGGGGCACTCACTACCTTAGTACATGCGCTTGTAATCTCAAGATTAGACCACTGTAATGCGCTCTACATGGGGCTGCCTTTGAAGCTGATGTGGAAACTTCAGGTGGTGCAGAATGCAGCGGCCAGACTCCTTACTGGAGTGAGAAAATACCAACATATTTCTCCTACCCTGGCCATGCTGCACTGGCTGCCCATCCGTTTCCACATTGACTTCAAAGTTTTAATGCTTACTTATAAAGCCCTAAACGGTTTAGGACCTCGATACCTGGCAGAACGCCTGCTCCCACCAAGATCTACCCGGGTCATCAGCATGAGTCAGGAGGTGAGGCTGAGGAGCCTAACGCCGAGGGAGGCCCGGAAGGAAAAGACACAAAATCGGGCCTTCTCGGCAGTCGCTCCTCGCCTCTGGAATAACCTTCCTCCGTAGATTCGTGCGGCCCCTATGCTGGGCACCTTTAAGAGACAATTAAAAACATGGATGTAGACTAAGGCCTTCCCTCCTGTCAATACTTAATCTTCCTTTATTCTTTCTTTCTTTCATTTTTATTTGTTTTTAGTACTGTATTTGTTATGGATTGTTTATGTAAAATCTCTGTGTTTTTATTGTATATATGTTCATTGGAAGCCACCCAGAGTGGTCGATAGACCAGATGGACAGGATATAAAATAAATAAATAAACAAACTTCTTTTTCTTGCTCATGAAAGGAAAAAGTACAGAGAAAGAAATAAGAAATGTGGAGCTCTACTGAACCACTACCAAAGGATGCTGTCAAGTGATTCAAAGACCACTGCATTAATTTTGAATGGATCAATAGATTGCGCTTCAATCCCAGGCCATAAACAGATTTTGGGCATAACCCATGCCTGAAAGAGGAAAATTCTTAACTAATGTGAGTGTCTAAATGTCACAGCATGAGCTTCTTTTACTCTTGGGAATATGCAAATTAGCTTGCTTTGGTTGGCAATTGACCTTCAAAATTTAAGCACAAAATTCATTTGAAGTCTGATTTCACAAACTAAAAAAGGTTGCCTCACTCACCTCTTTGCAACATTAAAGTACTTTTGGCTCTAATTATATATATCTAATACCTGTTTCTAACCCCAAAGAAGGAGAGGGAACTTGCCTGTCTCACCTTTTATGCCTTTCTCCTCTTGCTACAGACTTCATACAAGGCTACAGAAGAGGGATTTTGGCTAAAATGGGTAAGAGCTGAAGATGGAGGTTGCAGAGGGTTTTTTTTAAAAGTCTTTAGTCTTGTTTCTATCCTCTTTCCAGAATAAAAACAGATTCCAGCACTCCCTAATTTCGAATGATTGCCAAATCCCACATTATTCCCAAGACCCAGCACCCTACCACACACAGAGCTATTTAGCGCTGTCCTTTGATACCTATAAAATCTATATATGTCACTGGAAATTCTAGTTTGGCCCTCAAAAAACATACCACACATGGAAATAGGCCATGTGCAGGAGAAAGCACTATATATTTGCAGATTCTGACATGGGCCTATATAAGCAATGTGCTAAATGTAGACAGTCTGCGTGCTGCAGAGAGCAAGAGATGATCCAGTGTCCTTTCAAGAGGAACATAAGAAGCTCAGAGAGGAGCTTGTTGATCTCATGTCAGTATCTGCTGCAGATTCCAGATTGTGAAATCTCCTCACAATGTGGGACAGATGTTGTGGCAAAGGAAATAAAAACAGACTTCAGGCTGGGACAGTGAAACGACACCGCTTGATAATCCCCTCCCTTCAGCTTTCGAAGTGGCTGGACCCGTGAGCAATTGCAGACTGAACCAGTCACATCACAAGGGCAATCGGAGGATCTGCAGTCAATTCTTTGGAACGTTGACAGTGAGCAGCAGTGGCCAAAGGCAGGGGAGGGGAAAGGAAGGACTTTGTTCATTGCTCAGTCTTGAAAATGATCCTGACAATTTTCTGTCCAGAGCTCTGTGCAACAAAAAGGACTTGTGCGGATTTTTTAAACATGGCTTTACAGTGTTCACTCCAGTTCCTAAGGCAGGCAGTAAAGCAACAGAAGAAATAACTCCCTTTTGCTAAGGAAGTGATTCAAGATAAACGAAAGATAAGAACAGGGATCTATCAAAGAAAAAGAAGTGGAGACTATTTTCTTCCCCCCAGAAGATGCTTAAAGAAAATGGTAATAAGATGATCCACACATAAACTTCTATAAAAAGCTCTCAAATGTTTGAAACATGTATTCATGCAACTATTATAATGGAAACTCTATTTCTATTGTGTGGCCTCCTCCCTCTCCTGGTTTGTTCTTATGCTTTAAGCATAGTAAAATGTATTCATTCATTCTTTCATTCATTCATTCATCTAGGAAAAAAAGAGCTGTAGAGAACAATCAGTTGGGGATGAGGGAATATACAGCCCAAGGAGGATGTTGGCTTTGGGAAGGCTGAACGAGGCTCTTTCTCAAGCAGTCCACCATGTTTTCCTGACTGGTTTGAAGCTGCTGCTAAGAGCAGTTTGGAGCTTTTCCTTTCCATGAAGAGCAGAGCCACAAAATCACTGGACGGAGCTATGGAAAATTATGAAACAGAGGATTTGAGAGGATATGCAGGAAAGTTATTATTTCACCTGAGCTTGTTATTTCATCTCCCACAACAGCTTGTAAAAGCTCAACCGAAGGGTGATTAACTCACATGAGGAAAAAAAAAAACCTCAAACCATTCTTGCTTAACCCTTAGTATTACATAAAATATGTAATATTGAGAAACAAGAGACTTCAGTTCAAAACCAAAAGTATTTGGTTAAAATTATCCAATGTAGCCAGTGTATTCTGGGCATATTCTGTTTACTGCCCAATTAAGCAACGGTCATTTCCTCACTGAGTAGGTTGTGACATACCACAATTTATTTCGTTAATTTATTTTTCATCTTGGCTACATTTCTGGCTTGATTGTTTAGTGTCCTCTATGGTCCTATCCACGTGAACACCACCAAGCTCCTTCCTCCAACATGGTTAATATATGCACACACACACACTCAATTTCAGCAGGCCCTCTGCCAGTCTTCCCCTACCATTCCAAGCTGCTCCAACCAACTGAAAACAAACAGACCAGTGGTTCCCAATGTCTGGCCTTCAAGATATTTTAGAGTTCGAACTCCCTGAAGCCCTTTTAATTGGCTTCAGGGACATGAAGTCCAAAGCATCTGAAGGACCAAAGGTTAAGAACCACAGTCATATGCCATGCACAAGCATTTTTCCCCTTTTTTCTTCACCCCATGAGTTTTATTGTGTGGTGGCAGTGGAGAATGACTAGGTCCTCTGGAAATGGTCCGGCACTTGCATATTTAATTTAATTTAATTCTATTTTATTTTATTTTATAGCAAACGTAGAATTGCAAGATAGTCCACATGTGGTTGCTGGGTTGCGCTGTTCAAGATACTCTGGATTATATTATAAATGCAATCAGCATTTTTAAGAGAAGAATTTCCTTTGTCAACAAAAAGACACAATGCTAAACAGGAAATCTTCAGCATTTGCTCAGTCACTGAGCAGACTGATCAAACAAAATTAGTTCTGGATTTTTTAAAAAATATATCTGTAGCACTACAGAGGCATTGGGCAAAATTGCATGATTCGTGGTATGAGTCTGGATAATTTCAGAGCATGTTGAGAATGGAGTTACCCAAAACCCTGCTCAGCTCTTGCCAGCATTTTGGAAAGGATGCAGTAGTATTTTGTTTGCCTTTTCTTCCTTTAGTATTACCACTCCATTGCTAACATAGTTGTGCTATGGTGTGGAAGATGGGGTGTTTCAGACCCAAGGTCTCTGCTGATGTGGCCCTGTCACTTCTCCTGTCCTCTTCCACAGTCTTTCTTTGTGCTATAGATTTGAAGAGAGGAAGCGTAGAAGAGTGTATGTGTGAGATCCAAGACTGGATCTCTCCTGTGAAGCTCTATCTTCCACCTTGGAGGGAAATGCTAAGTCTTTCTTAGAGCCCCTGAGATACCATCCCAGAGCCCAGAAGGTTGTTTTTTTTTTTTTAAATTGCCGCCTATCAGGGATGGGGATGCGAGTTGCGGGACTTGCTGTCAAGTCAGACTTAAGTTGCACCAGTGGCTTGACCTTGACTCTTTTTTTATGACTCAGCAACGTGTAGCCTGTATAATTAAAATTGTAAACCGCCCGGAGAGTGCTTGTAGCGCTATGGGGCGGTATATAAGTCCAATAAATAAATAAATAAATAATAAATAAACTTGGAACCAACCCACTCCTCCCTTTTTGGGGAGAAATAAAGCTTGTTTGCATAGGGACTTAGAATTAGGACTTGGGACTCCAAACTTGGGACCAACAACTTGGATCTAGACTTCGGACTTGGTACCAAAGACATGTACATGTACTTGGGACTTGGACCTAAAGTCTTAACAACATCCCTGCCAGCTATACAAAATAAAACTTCTCATGGACAAAACACCAGCACGCCAGCAGAGACAAACCATTCAAAGCTACTGTTCAAAGTGATTGGTTTTGTTGATAGCATGGGTTCCCAGCCTGGAAACCGTGGTTGTGAAGTGTTTTCTGGAGACAGGCTCCCCATGGCCATTTTTAGTTTAAATTATTTCTTATATTTCTTATATTATATATGGTACACTCAATGCTGTTTTATTTTAATCCCCTTGGCCCAAAGATAGATAGCTTTAATCTAAATCATAATTGCAAGCAACCTAGAGTTCTTAGTTATTTTTGTGCTCCTTTGGGGAGATTTTCTTTTTATGCATGTGCATCACTCCTACCCCTTCTGAAAGAGCCACTCTTCCTTGTTTATTCCTGCTCCTCTGCATCCACCTTTGGAGAACTGACGTCAGCCCTTTGGACCCATTCATTAGCCCAGCCCAAAGATGCCTGAATAAGGTGAGTGCATGTGCACACAAGAAACACTGGTGTCCAAGATGGCAGGAGTGGTGCATGTCACTCTACCTGAGTCTCCCGCTCTTCCGGGAGCAGCAATGGCAGCACAGTGAAGGGAGAGGGGACCTGTGAGGTGAGGTGCCTCCAGACCCCACCTACGTCATGGAGGAGGAATGCAAGAAAAGCAAAAAGTTGAGGGAAGACAACCAGAGGGGTGGGTGGGGCATGAGGCAAGGCCTTTGGGTTTGACGTGTTTATTTAGGCTGAAGGGGGAGGAGATCCTCACTGAGGGGGCTTTTTTTGCCCAAAAATGTAAATTATATTCAAAGTATATTGGCATTTTTCCTTTTCACATTTTATCCAGTATAGGTAGGTTTACAGCCCCTCTGCCATAATGATATATGGGGGGTAGGGTAGCAGGTTACTTGGCTATTATAAAAGGGGATTGCAACTTGAAAAAAGATGGGAAACACTGGCATATAGGAAGAGAAAGATAGAAATAAAGCATTTGAACACACAATTTCTCATCTGCATTTTGAAATGCTAAAGTCCCATGAGCTTGCTCTGAGAATGTAAATCATTTATCAGAATTACAGCACTGCCATAATAGGACTTGGAAAATATCTCAGGAATTATAAAAGGGGATTGCAACTTGAAAAAAGATGGGAAACACTGGCATATAGGAAGAGAAAGATAGAAATAAAGCATTTGAACACACAATTTCTCATCTGCATTTTGAAATGCTAAAGTCCCATGAGCTTGCTCTGAGAATGTAAATCATTTATCAGAATTACAGCACTGCCATAATAGGACTTGGAAAATATCTCAGGAGAATTTAGTTCAAATGTGAAGAAATGTTTGCAACACTTAAACCATTGGTGTTTATTTTCTCATCAGTGCCAATCTATAGCTTAAGAACTTCCCTAAGCAACACACACCACCACACCCATTTCCATGTGCCAGTTGTTCCAAGTTCCTCTTTTATTCAGGAATGTTTATCTTTTTATCATGTTTTCTATTGTCCACTTTGTGTTTTTCTTAAGAAATAAAGCCTGAATATTATGTCTGAAGAATACAAAAGTTAATTGTTTCTTAGTAAGTCCTAGATCTTATGTGTCTCTTAAAGCAGAGGTCCCCAACCCCCTGTCCGTGGGCCGGCGCCAGTCCATGGCCTGAGCCTGACCGGGCACAGAGAAAGACCTCCCTCCACCTCCACACAAACTCCCCCACACACAGCCTGTTTGCACCTCCAGTCCGTGGCCTGAGCCTGACCGGGCCGCAGAGAAAGACTTCCCTCCACCCGCACACAAACTCCCCCACACAGAGCCTGTTTGCACCTGTGTGCAAGCACGCACCTGCCTGCACGAGTGCTGTGCCACCTTTTGCGCATGTGCA